TTGGGTAAAGAAGAAATTATAACATTTCATACTTAGAAATAAATTATGTTGAAAATATTAAATATCTATGACTTTGGATACAACAATGTCAGTGCTTTAGGGGAATTTATAGCTTTGGACACTAATATTAGAATAAACTCAAGGAAATAAAAAGAAAAGAAACAATATAAACAGAAGTGGGAAACAATGAAACTGAGAAGGAAAGATAAAATAGACAAGATCGACAAGGTCAGAAGTTGGTTCTTTGAAAAATAACCTAACATGATAGGTGAAACTTCAGAAAAGTTAATGGAGAACAAAAGAAGACAAAAATGACTCATATTGAATGAAGAAGATATAATGCAAATGGACAAAGTGGAGATAAAAATAGTAACAAAAATAGAAAACAAATACAACAAATAACCAAATGCCAGCAGCTTTGATAACTTAGACAAAATAGAAAAATTACTAAAAAATATATCTTACTGGAACTAACTCTAGAAGAAACAAAAGGCCTAAACAGTTTTATAACTATTAAATAAATTGAAGCTGTGGCTTAACATCTCTAAAACAAAACCAAACCAAACATAACACACACACACACACACACACACACACACACACACACTCCCCTACCCCCAGACAAAATTTGGAACTACTAGTTCTAAATGGTTTTATGGGTAACCTCTATAATGCTTTTAGGCAACAAATAATCTAATTTTTATACAAAGTCTTTCAAAGACATTAAAAATAGGGAATAGTCCCTAACTAGTACTACAAAGCCAAAATAACCATGATACCAAAACTATTAATGCAATTCATCACATTAACAGATTAAAAGCCAAAAATTATATCGTCATCTCAGATGCAGAGACAAATTGATAAACATATTTCTTAACACTTAAAAAATACAACTTAAGGTTGTAGTGAGGTTCCATTTTACATTGATTTCATTGCAAAGATTAAACAATATAACCACACCAATTGTTACAAAGAATGTAGATATATAGATACACAAAATCTCTTACACATTGCTGATAGGCTTGCAAAATGGTGCAATCACTTGGAAAAATGCTTTACATTATTTCCTAAAAATGAACATTCATATACTTTAAACACACACCACACACACACACTCTATTGCACATGTCCACCAAGAGCCATATACAAGCACGTTAATAAAAAAATTATTTCCAAGAGCAACATATAGAAACAATCCAAATCACATTGAAAAGAAAGTGGATAAATAAACATGTATACTCATTCTATGAAATATCATATAACTAAAAAAACCAATTAACTGCAGCAGCACTTGAAAATGTGAATACATCTTAGCAATACAATATAAAGTGAGGAAAATATGATACCTCAAACACTGCATTGACATGATATTCCTTCACTAAGGTTAAACATCTAAAATAATATGTAAATGTAGGAGTGTATATAGATTTAATAAAATTATAGGAGAGAGAAAGAATGGTAAGGATAAACAAAAAATTGAGAGGAGGATAGAATGAGGAAAGGATCACACAGTTAGATAAACGTTATTGTCCTAAATTTTACCTTGGTTGTGAGTTCCTCATTGCTGCTTATAACATTATTAAAAAATAACTAATGTCATAAATAACCAAAATGTGCTTATGTATAAACCAATCATGACTGCTGTTATGAATAAGAATTATGATAAATCCAATTCCAATTTTCCAACATCTAGAGGAGAAAACTAAAAATCTGATCATGTCATCCCTTTGCTCAAAATCCTCCAAGAATTCAGAACTGACTCAGAGAAAATTATCTTCTTTAAAATCAAATTCTTACAATGGTCTATAAGACATTTTTATTATCTGGCCCACCATCCATTGCAATATTTTGAAATACTCTGAAATCATCAGTCCTTTTGGGTGAAACTTCCTCTTTTCCCTTAAAACATTTGCATTCAGTGTGTGACACATGATCATCAGCATAAATGGACAAGAGATTTGCATATATTTGCATATACAACATATTAATAGAGCTAAAGGCTCCTGCTTTCAAGAATAATAAATTAGGTAACTTCAGCCAAATTCCTACTGAGGATATATGAAAAAGCTGAATGAAATATAAAAAACATCTCCTAAGAAATCCTCAAAGATATAACCAGACAATAAAGAATTAGCAAGCCAAAATCTAAGAAAAATAAAAAAAAACCTGAGGGGTTAAGTCCAGTTCCTTTTCCCTGGAGGCATTTAGTAATTCAGAAGAAGCAGTTACCAAATCGAGCTAACATTTTTGTGGTCTCACATAGCAAGGGGGATAAAAAGTCCAGTTCCCCTGACACATAAAAGGAAGTGTTTGATCACCCCTTCAAACTCTAAACTGGTGTGACAAAGGAATGCAAAGACAAAGGGTGAAATTAAATAGACCAGTTTTTAAATGGACTGTCACCCTCTCAGCTTGTCACCTGGGTGATACAGGAAACTTCAAGCATTGAACTTGGATGAAGATAGTCCTGAGACAGAAGTGTCCCATGTACTTCACAGAAGCAAAGGAATATGCTCTCTGAAAGAAGATGCTATCCTTCTAGGTTACAAATTGTTTCTACAAATAATTTAGCAATTCAAGAATCAGCACCTAATCTAAAACAATAAGGCACACAACAGAGCAAGACAGTGAGTGTAATACCCAACAGAAGCAACAGACAACAAAAGCAGAGACTTGAGACATTGAATTATTGGACACAAGCAATATAATTATATATATTTGGTTGCAATGAATAAAAGGTAAGCATGGAAATGCAAGAAACTGTAAAAATAGAGCAGATTTGATAAGAAAACAAATATAAATTCTAGAACTAAATAATACAATAACTACAGTTAAAAACTCAGTGGATG